CTTAGCTTACATTTGCTTCTGTGTGTCTTTGTGAAGTTAGACATTTCTAAACAACTTTGGAAAGTAAAAGAATTTGTAAAAACACTTACTATGTATTATATTGTTGTTGCTAACTTTTCAAGAAAAAGAAAAAGAATGCAGGGCGTAAGAGTGACATATGGGGGGAGGGTACAGCTCAAGTGGTGGAACACATGCGCCGCACGCACGAGGTCGTGGATTCAATCCCCAGTGCTTCCATTAAAAATAAATAAACCTAATTACCCCCCCCCAAAAATCAGTGACATTTAACTATAGCCCATCAATTGGGCAAAGTAGCCTTATGTGCTGAATATGTGTTACTAACAGGCTCTTTCAGAAGTGGTCATTATCCAATTTAGTTATATGCTGGACCAAAGCCCCGAAGTAGGTACTTCGTCCGTTGCAAAGATGAATCAGTCACAGAACTGCCCCAGGGGTACCAGCCCAGTTGGAGTGATGACTTACACAGGAGCGGTTTGAGTATATTGTTATGGGAGAGCAGATCTACTGCTGATAATTCAGAGAAGGCTTTATATGGAGGAACTGTGATTTGCTGAGCTTTGCAGGATCGGTAGTATGTGACATGCGTAGATGAGCAAGAAGGGCATTACAGGCAAAAGTATAGTGAGAGCACAGATCTGGAGCACGAAAAGAGCAGCGCACGAATAAATGGAGAGCAGGAATCTCCTCGGTGTGCATGGAACACAGGCTGTGTGAGTGGGAGCAGCGGGAGACAAGGCTGAGGCCCAGTCATGGATTTAGATGACTTAGATTTTACTGAGTAGGTTGAATGCTTTTCAGGTACAGACATCATACCAAGTGCTACACAAGTGTTATCTCCCTTTACTGCCATTTGATTGTGCTTTAGATCCCAAGTTATATTTACTTCTCACTAGGAAACTTCTCAGATCTCCCTAGACTGGCTTGGAAGCCTCTCCTGAGTGCTCAAGCAGCATCCTTCCCTTACTTCAGTTACAGTCAGCTGTCCATATCCACAGGTTCTGCACCTGCAGACTCAACCAACTGTGGATCAAAGATATTAGGAAAAAATTCCGGAAAAGCAAAACTTGAATTTGCTGCAGGCCAGCAACTACTTACATAGCATTTACATTGTACTTGCAGTTATTTACAGAGCGTTTACATTGCATTAGGTATTATAAGTAATCTAGAGGTGATTTAAAGTATATGGGAGGATGTGCATAAGTTAAATGCAACTGCTATGCCATTTTACACAAGGGACTTGAACACCCTCAGATTTTGGTATCTGCGAAGGGTCCTGGAACCAGTTCCCTGTGGATACCAACGGACGACTGTATACCGCATTGTTTTCTTGCCAGTCTTTACACTTAAGACTGTGAGTTCAGTGAAAATGGAACCTTGTTTTGTTCACTGTCACATATCAGTGCCTAACATTGTGTCTGGCTCATAGTAGTTGCTGAACTGACGTCTGCC